GTACTTTTCATACATTGCAAAAATTAACATTAAATAAATAAATGATTCTTGCTTGCTATATATGTTGCATACATGTCATTGCATCGATGCAATGACATTATGTTACGTATGGTTTGATCATTGACTTGACTATGTGAACACGCATACTGTGCATAAGTATAATTCATCCAGCAATCAAGTAAATGTTTTAGTGAAAGCATGGCATTCAGTCTGTTGCAAACTGCCATTAGCTGAAACCTGAAACCCTCATTTTTCCACTCTTTAATGTCTTATATCTCGGAAACTGTCCATTTTTGGGCTTGGTGCCTATGGACACTTTTTATCAGCATGTTATGAACTGCATTATCTTACATTATTGTTAAATTTGACTGAGAGCCAAAACTCCCCATGACCGTTGCGGGGTCCTTTGCACTTAATATAGCGAATAACAGTTAATATAGTAAAAACGCGAATAAAAGTCGCAAATTTTTATAGAAGAAATGCAGTATGGAATCAATTGAATGAAAATTATGCACCCCATTTTCTTAGACTTACAAGAAAACGTTTGGAACTCACCGGTTTTTCACTGGTTTTGATGGATTTTGGGTATACTGTTGTAGAGTGGAGAAAAATAACAGATACGTATTGTCCCTCATTGATTTTGATGAGCTTTGGATATGTTATAGAGTAGCGAAAAATAACACTTTTTTTTTTATTGGCTTCGAAGCATGTTTAAAGGTTGAAACAATCCCTCAAAAGAAATTCCATGTATTTGATTACGAGTGAATATCTCTGAAACCGTGCGGTGCATGAAAAAATATTTTAGACAAAAGGTTACGGTATTAAGTGATCTTTGCAATTGTGTATCTAGATTTTTTTTAAAGTTATATTTTTGCAAAAGTAACACTAAAGAGTGAACGTTACTTTCAGATGCCTATAACTCAGAAAGTAATCAGAATTGATGAAATTTAACACTTTTTTAGGGACACAAGTACTACAACGTATTAAAAACTTTTTAAAATTAATTTAAAAAAAATTTTTTTTTAGGAATGACGATTATTTGTTTATCCGGATATCCGAATATCCGAGATAAAAATATATAGTAATTATGCATAAAAAGACCCTACTCGCCAATGACCTTGACCTTGACATGTTGTCAAGGTCATGACCCTGAAAAAAGTGGCGGTCACGATCCGTTTAAAAGTTACGAAGCATTAAAGTTTTCGCTTTGCAAAATCAATTGTATATCGCCACAAATATTCACACAGATGATCGACTAACTTATTTTGTTTAATACCACCTCTACTTGAACGAGCTCGTAAAGCACGCCACAAACCCATGTGACATCTCGTCTTGCGTGAAAAGTGTATGCGTGGAGGCCGTAGGTTTCGCCCCCTTTTTTTGTTATTGCGGAGGAAATCTTCGACTACTGGGATCCCAGGCCCGCAAAGAGCCTGGTTTGCCCAATAACCCCTGAAGGGGAAGACCCCCTCGCCTCCGGGGAGAGGTCGAGGGGAGTGTGGGATTCTACGCGTGCCGCCAAAGTTAGGCGCAGCTTACCCACTAAAACCCCCGCGAGTGGCCCGTTCTGGTGTTGTGGCGAGTGCCCCGGGGACGAACTTAATCATAACTTTCGGGACACCCGCCGCCCTGCCCTGACTGCGCACCTTCTCTCCCCCGAGGGTCGAAACCTCCGGGAGTTCCCTATAATGGGAATAATCTACTGCGGCGGAGAGTGGCCACCATCTCTCCCCGCCGCGCCTCTTCTGGTGTTGGTGGAGGCTGGACCAGGACCCGAGAGTCCCCGCTCAGATCTTGACCCCCACCGCCCGCGAGAGAGCAGGGTACGAGACGGAACCCCTCCCCATTGGGGGGGGGGGGGGGGAACTCGCTCACCATTTCTCTCTCGCGGGCCGCGAAGTGGCGCTTAACGTGTCAGCAAACCCTCTGGCTAGCCTAGCCAAGAGGGTTGCTTACAACGATGGCTCGTCCATCGTCGGATGGACGATTGTGCCGGCCCCGAGCGGCTATAGAGCGGCTAGATGAATCTCACCGCTCAGGGCTGCCCCTTTTTGTTCCGAACCCTTTCCCCCGCGAAGGGGGAGAGAGAGAGTAGGGGGAGGGTATATGCACGGGAGGGGAACAGGTTCTCCTCCCCTTTCTTTCTTATTATTGTCACCCCGCGTCCTTAAGCTGCTGGGGCGCAGGATCTGGGGGCATCCGCCTTCGCCGGCGAGGAGGTGGTCCTCGCGGGTGCACGAAGATCCCCCCCGTCTGCGTCGGTCTGATCCAGCGCGGGTCGTTCTCTGCGCCGAATTCTCTCGGCCTCTTCTTTGGCGGCCATGACCGCATTGCAAAACTTGGTCATGGCCTGCCATTTCTCTTCCCCCTCGACCATCACTGTTACTACGATCGGGAAGGAGAGGACACATCCTACACTGGCGCGCAGGACTCGGCGCTCTTCTGCCCACGCTGGACAATGTGCCAGCATGTGCTGCGTCGAGTTCATGTCATCACCGCAGTGATGCGACACAGGTACTCACCAAAACACCCGTGCCCGGTCAGCACCTGTGTCAAATGGAACGTGAGTCCCCGCTTGCTCGCCCAATCTTCCAGATTGGGGCCCCGTATAGGGCCACCGAATGTACCACGTAAAGCCGGCGAACGCCGTTGCTCGCCCTTCTTAGGTTGGGCATTAGCCTGCATAGGCTGTTAGTCACAACCTTGACCGTGGGAGTCAGCCGAGCAACGTGCTCGCCGAACTTTAGTTCAACCAGAGACCCAACAGTTTCAGCCGGGTTCCTATGGGGACGCGGACTCCGTTCATCATCAAGAACTTATCGGGTGGCTTCCCCCTTGAGCGGTCGTGAAAGAAAACCGCTTAAATTTACTGGGGAGCTATCCGTAGCCTGAGGTTCTTGATGGCACGCACCCCTGCGGGGGACTCCACTATTCTCAAACTAGACACATAGTGTGCCTTCAAAGTACATGCGTGGGCTTTCCACGCGTGAAAAGTTGTAAATATTTTTCAAACTTTTTTTGTTAATAACTTTTCAATAAAAAACGACCGCCGGCTAAAACCTTCTGAAGGTCGCTCAGGAGGGTGACCTTTTTTTTATAACGGAGGGAGAATCCACACGGATATCCCCTCCCCCGGGATGGGGAGGGCGGTTATGTGGGACTTTAACCCACTAAAAACCCCCTCGAATGTCCCTTATGGCGCTTTTTTGGGGAGGCCCCGGGAATCACAAGTATACCTTCCGTGAGCTTCCCCACGCCTAGCCCTGCCGGGCTTGAACTAACTCGTGACGGGTGAGGGGACACTATCCCCATCCGTCACCCTCCCTTCGAGGGTTGCTTTCGCAGCGGGCAAGCAGCTGTCCCCGACTGCTCACCCATCAGGAGGGTGACCTTGACAACATATGTCAAGATCATTAGTGAGTGGAGTCTTTTTATGCATAATTACCAAATATATAAATAGAAAGATCCGAGATAAAATATTTGATTCAAGTGAAAATTTGGATATCTGGCTCTTGTGTGGATCCAGATCTTCTTCGGATTCAGTTTTTGTTCGGATCCGAATCTTGTTCGGATCCGGATCTTGTTCTTATTGAATTGTTTGATGCTGTCTAGATTTCTAATTCAATTATTTGATCGTTAACCAGATCTCGGATTCAAATCTTATAAAGGGGAGTTACCACAAATCATAAATCTTAAACACGAGTTATCATGGAGATTGTCATCATTATTGTATTCATAATAATTATTATACTAAAACATAGAAATAATTCAGCTTGAACTAAATTTTAACTGCTGCTTATTTAATAAGTTTTTATTTCGCAATTTATTTATTGATTATTGAATAGCTGAAGAAAGAATTATAGAGTACAGTTCAAATAAGTTTTTATTTCTCAACGAAAACATAACATACAAAGTTAAATGTAGTGCTTAAAAATAAACATGTTTTAAAGTTTTAAATAAATATCACAAAATTACGTTATCTAACTCAACCTAAGTGATATGTATAAATCCAAAATTCAATCTAAGTGGTAGTAGAATTTCCCCTTAACAAAATTATTATACAAACGTGTTATCTAACTCAATTCAAGTGACATGTATTTAAAAAAAAGATGTGAAATCTTTAAATTGCGCCAATTGCAAAGAAAATATATATATTATTTTGAAAAATAATTGTTGCGCAACTACTTTTAAAAAATAAAACCTAAGTGGTACATATCTTGGTCTTTGTGTTCTCATTCAAAAGTCTTCTTATTCCAACCTAAGTGGTAGTAGCTTTAATTCTCCTTAACGAAATTATAACGTTACAAAGAATTATTTTAATCACAAAGAATTAAAGAGGTAACAGTACAGAATAAAAATATTTAATTAAAATAAAATAAATAAATTTTTCTTGTAAAAAACTTGGTGAACGCGACTTTCAAATGCTTATATGTAATTTAGAAACTATAATCATAGAAAATTGAAACTTTTCATTAGTGATACAAGTACTACACATATTAAAATTTTTTTTAAATGTTTTTTTTTTATATAAATCGTTCGGGGTTCTTTCTTTGTAGTTAGTCTGAAACATGTAACTGATTAATTAAAAATTATATATGCTATGCCCAAACTCTCTCTTAAGGAACTCTCTTTAAAGAGTTGCTCAAGTCAAGAAGGATCGAGGCCATAAACCAAAGGTATCTTAAGTTTCATGATCTGTGCTAGCCACAATTAAATTTTGCCCCACCGCGATAAACGGTGATCGTGGATCAGTCACATAAAAATGATCGTTCTCATTGCTTTTGTATTATTTGCATATGCATTTGACACAAAACATTGATTTTGTTCATAATTTTTGATATAATACGTGCAAAAGATACACAGAACCTCCTCCAGGGAGATATGCGTCGGGAGCTTAGAAGTAACTTGCACGTCTGTACCTTTTTAAATTCAAAAAGGACATTCTGGATTATTAATGCACCTTATCGTACTTATGTCATTATAACTGCAAAATATATAAAATGCAATATATAATATTTCAGAGTCTTGGCGTTGTCTTGTACGTATTAGTTTGCGGTGCTCTACCATTTGATGGACCTACAATGCAGTTGTTACGATCTGTGGTTGTCTCAGGGAAATTCAGAATACCATTTTTTATGTCTGCAGGTAGATATATATATATATATATATACATATATATATAAGGTAATTATTTAATAGGCAATACTTGATTATTTACTATTATTTAGTAACTTATAAGAAAAGGTCACAATTAAATTAACCAAATATCGATTTTAACTTTATCTTTTCGAAATATACAGAAAGATAAATCGATATGTATTCGGGTATTTTATCCAACAAGTTCTAATAATCAAGATTTTAATCTTTATAATTTCACGCGTTCTATAATTTGTGATATATATATATATATAAGTTTTAACAGAAAGATCATGATATCCATAAAAGCATTGATCAGCATAGCAAGGAAGATGCAGCAAAAAAATGAGTTTTATAGTTCGATTTTATTGATTTGTTTTTGTTTTTTTTAAATTTAATTTTTTGAATTTATATATTATATAAATAAAATAAAAAATATAAATAAAATTTATGTTGCCTGAGAAAGATGTTGAAACTATTGTTAACCGGTTATTGCGATAAATATTGCCACATGCCTCAGTAGTCGAATTGGTAGGACACGGAATGAGGGAGGTTCCAGGTTCGAATGGCTGAGGTAATATTTTTCACAATAAATTCTTTTTGATAGTTAAATCGAATTGATTTAATTACGGGGAGGGAGATTTTACTAAGGGAGACCGGGGCTAGTTGGTACATGGGGCAAGCATACGATAATTATTGTAAAAGTTACAAAAGATAATATTGCGTAAAAAATATAGTATTTCCGCAAAAATATTGCGATAATATTTCAATTAGTTATTTTAGGCTGAGTAGCGTATTTTTACAAACAGAAAATATTTTTAGTTTTGTACAGCCGAAAGTAAAATAAATCAGTGATATATTAAATGTTATAGGTACTTATAAATCTGGTCATCATATCATAATTTTAACTGTGTCTTTAAAATTTTTACTTTAAACGTAATAACTTCTAGTTATGTTAACGTCTTAAAACATTTTTTGTTTAAACAATAAATCAATCTAAACTATCTAAATATGGCAGATCGGGGTAGATTGTTACAGCTTTCTACTTATAATTTCGACCATCTCCGTCAATGTAACATATAACCTTGGTATAACAACGGCAGATATTTTAATCTTATGTAAGATTTCACCGTTAATGTCTCTTATTACGTATCAGAACCAGTCAATACAGAACATCAGTTACATTATATCTATATCATAATTTTGCACTTAACGGTGAAATGTCATATGACACATGTTGTTACATGTTATTTCTCTTTATTAAATATATTACCTATACTTTAAAAACTGGATCTTTCACAACTTAATCCGGTACTGTAACAATTTACTCCATATATCTAATTATTACAAATGTCGTCTTCTTATAATTGTTATTGGTGTAACTAAATTAATTATACTATTAAGTTAAAAGAAATTTTTTATGTTGTATAAGCATGCGGCTATTGAAAAATTCTTTCGCGACTTGTATTTCACTTATTAGTTACATGTAAAAAAATTTTTTTAAAAAGTGTATTAACTAGCCCCTGTCTCCCCTACTCCAACGGGAACTGTGTTGTAAATATGAAAAATCTAGTCTGGCTAAGATCCAAGCTCGGATCGTAAATGGGTTTAATCTAATTTGATTGCATTTTTTATATAAGTCTCTTATGAAAGTTAGATTAGAGTCAAGTATTTCTGTCAAGTGTTGTCTTAATCAAAGGCGTGGTTAAATTTGGTAATATGTTCGGAGATTACAGAATGCTTAAATGGGTTTGTCTTAATTTTGTTTTTGTGTTCATTAAGTCTAGTTGTTTTTTGTCTGTCTTGTATATGAGATATTACAGTCTTTACACGATATCTTATTGATTACGTTATTGTTTAAAATTATTGGATTTGTAGATTTATGTACCTTAACAAACTTGCTGAGATTATTACGACAACTATACTCTACCATGTGCTCGTCACCGTTTAACAAATGGGCTTTTCCTGTTTTTAATAAACTAAGGACAATGAATTTTTTATTATTTGACGCTGTGTTATCTCTAGTCTGATTCTTCGATTTAACTTCTTGTGTATGTTTAATGTTACTGTTGAATAAACATTAAAATCTCAAATTAATTTTTTTGAAGATTAATTTAATTAAGAAAATAATTCAATAAAATATTAGTAACTATTTCCAAGTTTTTTTTAATGAAACATGGAGTGAGACAATAAGATAGCTCTTGTCAACTAAGCTAAAGATCTATTGGGTGTCTATTGGATGATCAGAAAGACATGAAAAGTATCTGCCTAGTAACTAGTTAATTAATTAAAAGTTAAATAAAAAAGTCAAAAAGTTAATAACTTAGCTTAGTTAATTTAAAATGAGTTAATTTTTAACTTTAACTACTTTTTTTTTAACACAAAGTTAAACTTATTAACTTTTTTCCCAAGTTGAAAATTTTTTTTAACCTTTTTAGCACATGTAGAGCAATTGTTTAGTGCAGATGGCTTACTATTTGATGATTTATGAGGCAAATCAATCGATCGTTATTTTGAGATAACGCATTAAAAGGGATATTGTTTGACTTACCTTAAGAAGAAAAGGTTCTGTAAACATATGCTCTAAACTGCTTCGTTTTCAAATACAGGATGTCAAAGACGCACGCCCCTGGTGAATGTAAAAATGTTTTATTGGTATTGGAAAATAGTTTTTAATACCACATGTACGCATACCAAATAATGAATAAAATATCTTTAAACGTTTTTCAAATTTTCGAAAGGACTATACAAAAAGTAGACCCAAATGGGAAACTCATCGCAGTTCGACGAAATTTGGCAGGAACATTTATATTGACTTTAGAATCCGCCGGAGAGAGAGAATTTTTGTTTTGACACTCGTCTGGAATGGAAGTGGTGAAACGTGCAAAAAACTAAAAAGACGATAAGTTTGATTGTAAACAGCACCAGTGTGAAAGGTAAAAAATCAACTGTTTTGCCATTCGGCAACAATAGTAAAGTGGAGGACATTTGCCATTATATACAGTATGTCTCATTTTAAATGCTCCAGGCAAATATCTCGAATATGGAAGATATGGAAAAACAAAAGTTTTAGACAAAAGTTGTAGAATATTAAGGAAAACAAATAATGGTAAAATTATTTTTAAAAAAGACATGTAGTTGCATATTAGAAATTACATAATTTTTTTGCAAAGCAACAATGTGTTTTCTTTATACCAATTGATTTATCTTATTATTGTGTACATAAAAGTCTTAAGGTACAGTTATCAAAAAATGAATAGTTTACGAGATATTTTATACTTTATGTCAAAATGTGCCAGAATAAAATATGAAATATCCTGTAAACTATTAATTTTTTTATAACTCTACCTTAATACTTTTATATGTAGAATAATTAAAGCAGAAACACAATACAAAGGCACAAGCAATAGGAATAAGAAATAGCAACAGAATGTAGATTTTCAACCTATCAGAAGCCGTGTATCAATGCATTTTGTTCCTATTTTCTGTTTCTATTACCTGTGTCTTTGTATTGTGTTTCAGCCCTTAAAAGAATCATATTATGTAAAAAAAACATACAGTTCTATTTTAAAAAATGATGATGATTTTTAGGTGACTTAAAAAAATCGATTTTTTTTTCAAAAATTGGTCAATTTTAAAAAAAAATGTATCAATATTTGTACCCCTTTATATTCTGCAACTTTTGTTTAAAACGTTTTTTCATATCTTCCATATTTTTTTAGATACTTGCCTGGGGCATTTAAAATGGGACATCCTGTATATGTGACGAATGCCTCTTCGTCTAGAATGGAAGTCTTTACTTTATTATTGTTGCCGAATAGCAGGAAAGTTGATTTTTTTACCTTTTCACGCTGGTGCTGTTCACAATTACACTTATCGTCTTTCTCGCCATTCTTTTTGCGCGTTTTATCACTTTCGTTTCAGACAAGTGTCAACAAAAATTCTTTCTCCGACATGATTCTGAAGCTTCTTTTTTTTTATAACGGTGGGGAAATCTTCATAGGATACCCCCGTCTCCCGGGGGAGAGGACGGGCGGTTATGTCGGACTTCTACCGACTAAAACCCCACCGGGTGTCCATCTCTGCGCACTTGGTGGAGGGGCAGCGAGAACTAACTATATCCTTCCGCTACCCCTCCTGCGCTTGCCTCTCGGTGCCCCTTCGTCGGTAAGGGGCACCTGCCCCCGTCTTGACTTGACGGGGACTTGCTCCTCTATCGTGGCCAAGGTGGGACACCACTACCTCGGCCACCCCTTTTATGTGGGGAGGTTATGCCGACCCACTGTGTACTCCCGCCCGCGGGCTGACCCTCCCCGCGCCTTTCCACACCCCAACCCGATTGGTTGACGTGGGGAGAGGCGTAAACTTTGTTTTGATGCGTACTCGGGACCGAATAAATCACCCAGCACACGTCGGGCATTGCGAGGCAACTAATCTGCCTTTGCCCTTCAGTCATGAACCGACTTACCCTCTCTTGGGGTAGAGGACTTTACTCTGTCCCCTCCCCCGTTGGCGGTTATCCTACGTCCACCCATTGCTGGGTGGAGGCAGGGTATTGGCGCCTTCCCAGAAGGAAGGGAGCCCACGCGGTCTCCTAAAGGCGCCTCTTCGGCTCTCGTTTTCGGGGTGATTTGGGTCCGGACGTTCTCCGCGCCAGACCCTTTCCGCCTCTTCCTTCTGCGCCATAACTTGGCCGCAGAAGAAGGCTACGGTCGACCAATTCTCCTCGCTTTTGACCATCGCTGCCACTATGGCCGAGAGCGAGAGATCCTCCCCGAGGCGATTTCTGAGGACTCGGCGCTCCTCTGCCCACGCCGGACAGTACTGCAACGTGTGTTGCGCCGAGTCCAGGACCGCGTTGCAGTGGTGGCACTGCGTGGTCCACTCCTTATTGATCCGACACAGGACTTCCCCAAAGCATTCATGCCCGGTGAGCACCTGCGTCAGATCGTATGACAGTTTCCTCCTGCCCTCCAGTCCCGCAGGCAGGGTCGGACGGCCTCGACGAC